TATCTATGTCAAATTTCATTAAATGAAAAGGTAACATACTGATAGAGACATTTTGCAGTTTATAAGAAACTAGCTACTCACCCCGGCTTCGCACGGGTGTACATGTGTTATACATATAAACCTTCCTCTTGAATCACTCTATCTATTAAAAAAAACTGCTTCAAAATCCTTTCCGTAGTTTTAAAGATTTAAGCATACATACAGGACGGACAGACAGCAACAGCGACTTTGTTTTATACTATGTAATTTATAATAAAAGTTATGATACAACGTTAGTGGTGAAAATATTGCTAAAATTGGTTTCAATCACAGCCTTAACATTAAGGTGGCCACATTGCTACGGTAACAGACCGGTTGCCAAAATACTTGTCCGGGAGTGACCCGGTTTGGTTGGATATAGTAGGACTGTCATGTAGGGTTGTCACACAAACCTAATTCTTTTTAATGATAATTCAATATTAACAATAGTAAAAACCTAACGCTGTCTATTGCAACCTAACTAGATGTTCAAATTTTAAAATTCTTTTGATTTTCAATAACCCATTAATCAAAGAATGCTAAAGGATCTCAATGAGAAATATTGCAAAAACGAGAGAAATATGATACAGATGAACTTAAATATAATATACTTTAGTAAATCATTTATTTAAATAGATAAATAAATAATTTACTAGCGAAACATCCCGGCTTCGCATGGATGCATTACAAATCTTTGTACTTCTCGGCTTGTTCTATACTATAACACGCATGTATTATACATATAAACCTTCCTCTTGAATCACTCTATCTAGTATTTAAATCTGCATTAAAATCCGTTGCGTAATTTAAAAATATAAAACATTAAAAATAATACTAATTACTAGAAGTGGTCCAGATAACCTTTGTCAGTTTGTTGTCAGTTCTTCTCATCTCTAAATTATTCCGAACTGACAGTAGATTTGACATATCATAAGAGTCTGTAATAGACCTACAGGAATAAAGATATTTTGAATTTGGAAAGAGAGTAAGAGTAAAAAATAAAGTATATTGGCACATGAGTGGTGAAACGAAGGTATCTGATGTACCTGATGAGTGAGAGGTGTTGGTTTTATGAAGAAACATACGGAATTAAACGAAAATGCGACTAACACGACAGCTATACATAACAGAATGTTACAAAAAGAATATGTCAAAAAATATAATTATAAAATTCGAAAATAATATAAAAACCTATCAAGCAGTTCGTTACAAGTGGAAATGAATAAGAAACTAAAATTAATCTAAAATAACACTTACATACATATTATATGTATGACTAGAGCATCTATTAATAAAAATAAAATAATTGAAATGAACATGTGTATTTCCCAAATGTTAAGTGTGAAGTGGAAAGTGTCTGTGAGCCACAGCAAAGAAGAAAGTAACAACAACTAATAGTCAAAAGTGATATATATATAAAACAGATATCAAAAATACAATTATAAAAAGAATGGTAGACAAACTGCCAGCAACAATATGGTTCAAAATATATGGTCGACAGCCCTAACAATTTCGAGTGACTATAATTTGCAGCCACACGAGATTGAGGTTACAATAGTTAGTATGCCAAAGGTTCCGGCCGGGACGTGTTAATGGTCGCTAAGTGGCTTTTGGATCAATTTCACTATCTAATGTAACGTTAATAGAGAAATATCAAGTTTTTGTCTGTCTGATGTCTATAGCTAGGAAACTTATGAGAAATCTATACTAATATTATAAAGCTGAAGAGTTTGTTTGTTTGTTTGAATGCGGAAATCTCCGGAACTACTGGTCGTGTACCATTTGTCGAGGAATGCTTTAAGCTATATGACATTACGCTACGACCAATAGAAGCGAAGCAAACGGGGAAAATTATTCATATTTGAAGGTTTCCGTTGCGTGCGCTGCGCTATCGAAGTAGACACAGCGAGTATTATATATACAAACAAACAATAAAATTATGTCACTGTTTTTGGTGACTGATGATAGGTGGTAACAGTCACCTATATATATGAACAGTACTACGGTCATCACGTTATCATGTGACACCCGTGATACCACTCATGCGTTGCCATTCCAGAGTACTAAGATGTCATGCCTCTTATCCTGTAATTTCACTGCCTTATCTGCACCGTACAACTGAAACATGTGTTACATAGCAAACTACTATCCAGATTTTTTCCAGATGCTATCCAGAATTTAACAGTTTCCTTCTAGTTAAATAGTCAGTATGTTGTAGATAAATATGATGAACCTTTGTCTTTTAAGAAATTCTTGGTTTTAAGATAGACAAATCGATAAAAGAACTATTGTTTATTCTAATAATATTCTTATAAAATTTGTAAAAATGTCTCAAAAGTTTTACTTATGAATGAATAGATTTCGTTAAAACCATGTGTGTAGAACATATAATAGTTTACCTAGGGCGGTTATTAATTAATTAACATAAACAGAGCCGTATAGGTATAGGGTTGTAAGTTTATATGTGTTTATTTAAGCTATATTATATTCAATATTATACAAAGATACTACATTTATTTATAGCCATGTTTAAAATTAACAGAAGTAATAGTTCGTTGATGTCTTTTATATGAAAATTCAAGTGTACAATTTATATAGAAATTTTTCGAATATTATATTTAGAATTTGTAATGTAATTTTTTTTAGAGCTAAGCAGACCTTATTTTTTTTAATACAGTAGCCCCGGATATTAATCTCCAGGTTTGTTACTACTTTATTTATACACAACTTTTTATTATATAATATTTTAGGATACAGCAAAACTTGTATGAATATTACACAACTAATACAAATTAAATACATTTTTTTATTAACAGATACATAATACATAGAAAACACCCAGACCGATAAGACAGTCATACTAATGAATACAAATAGTGTTCTGCATGGAAACGAACCTACTACCATCAGAAGCAAATGTGCTAAACCGACCACCGTGGTGGTCAAATTATAAAAATGGATAGACTCGAAAAATACATAATCAGTTTTAGATATTATATATTATACAAAGATATAATATTGCCCTTATGTGAGTTGTGCTTATTTTAATTATAAAAATAGGTTTAGTTGCAGTTTTCACACTCATATCAATAATTTCTTCTGGAAGATTTATATGTATAATATATGCAGATATTTATACGATATTCACACAAACTATACATATGTCCAATGACAATAATTAAATTTATAATCACTTCCATATCTAAAATAGTTCTTATGTCATTTGTTAAATAAAGTCCATAATACAGTGGAGTTGTCTAAAACACGCTTTGATCCCCAAGATTCAAGGAACATATTTGGAGAATAAACAGCCAGGAATCATACTCCAATGGGTAATGTTGGGTGAAAGCAGTTTCAAGAAGTACAGTCAACAAAAATATCATCCTGTTTTATTTTACCGTAATTATTTTTTCAATAACTATTTTATACTAGCTGTCTGCGGATTCACCCACTTTAAATTAAAAATATGGCCTACGTGTTATCCTGAGGCCTAAGTTTATATTGATGTAAAGTTTCATCAAAATCCGTTCAGTAGTTTTTGCGTAAAAGAGTAATGAATATCCATACTCACTTTCGCGTTTATATTATTATATATTATATTAAGATTATAGTACGGCAAATGTCCTGTTTATATAATATAATTTGTATTTATTTTAAAATATGTATAAATATTTTTAACTTTACATTCTAACCATACAATGTATGAGAGGTTCTCAATCATACCGGAATTGGGTCACGGATGTTTTTTATTGACCGGCAGTGACGTAATAAATGAGCCGTAATTATATATTTTTATATTTAGAAACGGGTTCAAGCGCTCGAGTTTTTTTTCATTCTTGAGACCTTATGAAGTTTTACTTTCATATATTATCTTCATATTGCTATGTCAGACATAATCCAAATTTAGTTTTATAATGTTTTTCAAATATTTTAATTTATTTAAATCATTAATTAACATAATTTATACCAAATATTTATGTTAATTCATTTTCAAAGTAAGACATTTATTTATAAATTTAATGAATTTATATGAATGACCAATGGACAGTCAAAAATAGAAATAAAAAAATTGCGTACATATGTGTCCTACATGGAAAAATAATAAATATCTTATGCATATAGAAAAAAATAATAAAATTAATAAATTTAGAATTTGACTTTAACAAATGTTTTCTGATATACCATAACAGAAATGGCAAAGAAGCTTACGGCCCACCTGATGGAAACTGGCAAATTTCGTTAATTCTCATGAACAGTGTCAAGGTTATCACGTTATCATGTGACATTCAATGTACACTAATGCGTTGAGACTTCGGATGAGACTCAAAGAGAGTAGGAGACTTTATGATACTATAGAAGACTATAGGAAACTAGGAGACTATAGACGACTACGAGACTAGGTGACTATAGTAGACTAGGAGACTATAGGACACTAGGAGACTATAGGAGACTAGGAGACTATAGGACACTAGGAGACTATAGGACACTAGGAGACTATAGGACACTAGGAGACTACAGGAGACTAGGAGACTATAGGACACTAGGAGACTATAGAACACTCGGAGACTAGGAGACTATAGAACACTCGAAGACTATAGAGGACTAGGAGACTATAGGAGACTAGGAGACTATAGGAAATTAGGAGACTATAGAACACTCGGAGACTAGGAGACTATAGAAAATTATGAGAATATAGGAGACTAGGCTAATATTAGAGACTACAGGAGTCACGCATCCCTATTCTGTAATTTACTGCCATCTCTTATTCAAAACTGTAACGTAGCTGGGTAATAAGGCTATCTTATAGCAAAATATTTCATCCACTTTTCTTTTCGTGACCAATCGCACTTGTCGCGATTAGTTTCTATTGATTCAAAGCACCTGTAACACGATTGCGGTTGAATCTCGGCTATCAAAGCGATTATAGTTTTTATCAACCACAGACAATGGGAGCAAATATTTCTATAACTTATTAGTCTTACCTCTGTCATAGTCTTCGCCTTTACATGTCAAAGGATTGTCCAATATCGATAATAACACAAACAATAACACCAACTGTTTCACATCACTACGGATAATTCCAAATTTGAACCACATTCGAACTGTCATCGTGACGTTCAATTTCCCGCGTAAAATTAAAAATATAATGGAAAAACTCCTTTTGAAAAAATTCACGTTCGATTTTCAAATATGGATTTCGTTCACATTTTATTTTTTTATTGCGTCTATTTCATTGGCGGCATCTGAACGGTTTCTTCTGCATTGTTTTATTTTTTTTTATCTTATAGTTTTTCTTTTTTAAATTCTGCAACAATGAACCAAGACGTGCGTCCGGTGTCACACCGAAGAACCCACTAGCCGACTGACCAACTTAACACTGTAAAATAAGAAACATACATATTGCAGGCGAAGAGTTACTGCGAAAGAGTCCCATTTTACTTTCTCCGCGTCAACAAAAAAAATCTCTAGTTATAGAAACAATAAGGTTGAAAACGTATCCCCTCTATACTCAGTAAGAACTCGGTCATAGTTAATAACGTCTCGCTAAACAAGTGAACGGTGAAATGAGAAATTGTGAGAGACGGACATATGTCAGAACGAGATGGGTAGACATTTCTTTAATAAGCCAACCACATTAACTACGAACCAATAAAAAGTTTTAGTTTTCATGGTGTGAACAATATATTATATATTTTATGGTATAATATTACCAAAACAAAAGTATTTGTTACTGAAAAAACTATTACAATATATTTCTAGCACTCTTTAATAAATACTTAATAGCCGAACAAATAGTATTTTATTCATATAAAATAACGGCGTCAAAACATATTAAAGAACATCTGCTATGTGTTTAAAAAGAGTATTTATACTTACAACTAGCTGTCCCGGAAAACGTTGTTTTGCCTTAGAATAAAATAAAAATTAGGGGATGGACTACCCCCAACAATTAGGGGGATGAAAAATAGATGTTGGCCGATTCTCAGACCTACACAATACGCTCACAAAATTTCATGAGAATCGGTCAAGCCGTTTCGGAGGAGCATGGGAACGAAAACTGTGACACGAGAATTTTATATAAGATAAAGGTTTCACTTTATGAAAGGCGGGTAGTAGCATAATATTGTAGTAAAGGAATTAAAATTAAGTTAAATAGGTATTTAATTTGATTTTTTTTACTAATTGGCGACTTTAATTCTTAAGATATATGAATTTCTTCAATATACACAGATTTTTATATTCACTTCCATAATGTGCAGCCTCTACTCCAAGTACATTGGAGAAGCCTGGTGACGGGGTTTGATGCGGAATATCTTTCTCTGGTCTTTTTAGTTCCTTCTAGCCCTCAAGCCATCCCGTCCGTTTTGACTGGTAAACATCCCTTATCCGCCACTTGGGAACGCGTTCTCTCGAATTACAGGCTCTTCGGTGATAATTTTTATATTGAAATATAAATTAATTTATATTATTATACTTATGTTCTTAGTTGTCGTGGTCAATTTCGAGATTATGCGTACTAACGGAAGCATCCATCTCACTTTTTTCCTAATAACGACAAGAATGACATAATTTTATTCAAATTCCTTTTATTTTTTAGTTCATTCATTGACCTAGTGTGTCCCTTTCTATCTTTTAATGCGGTTGTAGCATGAGAAAAAGTGATAGAGATATTTTTAACGTTGCGTCTGTTAAGTAGGTTGCTTGGCTTGCGGTGGCCGTGTGTGAATATCGATGGGTTGTTAATTAAACTAATGCTGTGCCAACGGTAAATTAATTATCGAGATACTGAACTGATATACTGCTACGTTTTTTTTTAATTTTCACTTTCTCTGTGAAGGTTTAGGTCTCGCTTCTATACAACTCATGATATCTGCTTTTTAAGTATCTTTCTTTTAATGGCTGATAATTTTGGTTTAAAAAGTAATCACTTTCCTATGCAATATACATTATACAATACTAACGTTTACCCGCGACTTTTTATATACAAATGATAGTCTATACACATCCTTGTGATATCCACTGCAAATTTCAGTAAGATGCGTTTAGCCGTTTTGTAGTTAAAAGTTTACAGCCAGACATAATTTCGCATTTGTAATACTAGCAGTTATACGCGATTTTGTTTGCATAAACATTCATCCCCTATTTCCCACTATTCTAGGCAATATATATATAAATATAACACTATATATCCTAGTGTTGCAATCTGTCTTCATATAATTTTTTTTAAAAATCTGTTCAGCCATTTATTCGTGTAAAAGCAACAAACAAACAGACAGCTACACTTTTATATTTATATATTACTATGGATAGCTTTAAGCTTGACGTGACATTAGTATGGACAAGATTTAAGTTCGACCATTAGGTACACCAAAGTTCAAAACAGGTTATGAACATGCAAGAAAATTTCTGATTTCTCGAGAAAAGCTGGCGAAAGCTCGCGTATAGATAAATCTTCCCCAACACTCTTCATTGAGAACTATGCCAACGTGTTACTTTCAGTTTCTCACTGTGCTAGAGGTCACTGACCTCCCACGACACTTGCGAACGGTTTACTTAACTTGGCTTAACTTATCTTACACTTGGGAGAGGCTGGACTTTCGCTTGGAGGTCACGGTAGTAAGGTGCAATGTGTCGATAAAATTACTTATCGATAATAATGTCGACTAGACCCTAATCAAAAGTAAGAAATGTCGATTTTATCTCAAGGATCTGAAGTTCATTGTCAAATTGTAATTATCTTGTTAGCAAAAATATACGAGGATATGTTTAAGATAGTCCCAAATGTATAATATTAGTTCACTCCGTGCAAACTAGATGGCGCCACAGGTAAATGTAGATGGCGCTATTAAGATTTTTTTTGTTTTAATGACCTCCCTATAGTATTTTTTTTTTACAAATTCCTATCATCCCTATTGAATGGTAGTTTCAATTGGAACCCTCAATAGCAGCTTTTTGACCTCACGGTACCTATTTGTTCAGATAATAATACAAAAAATACATATTATATTTACTTTTTTATCCTCACATATATAAAAACAAATATTTACTTTCATGGTTACGCTATAATTGATAGCAATAATGGATTTTATTAAACCTATTTTTTATAACTTTGTAATACTTTGCAGAAGGTTCTTCTGGAATAATATATTAAGAATTAAAAATTTACAAAGAAAACTTAACGACTTTTTTATACTCGAGCCTTTGATAGTTCGGACATTTGGAAATATATACAATATTCATAACTAAGTTAGGACTGTATCTGTCGCATCAACTAGTATCTATAATAATAAAAATATATATTTTATGAAATTCGTTTTATTGTAGTTATTACTGTTGGAAGTATAATGCTGGCCATCGTAGAATTAGTTGTTTGTACATTTTTATAGAATATGTCACTTTGAATATCTCAGTAATTTTTTTTGTAATGTCAACATGTAAATTTTATCATTTTAATATATTTCAATATTTAATCTGCTGCTACTTTCTCTTATTTCCAAAAATTACTAACAGATTTAATAATCCTACACATATTAAATGCTTTAATATCACCGAGTAACATAGAGTATATATTATGCTATGCTAAGCTAGTGTTTTATTTTCTATATTTTTTGCTTCAATACAATCATTTATTTATTTCTTAAACATTCTTGATTCTTGAAACACAAATTACTGTTACGGTTAATGAAATCTATGGCGAATACACTAGTTATGTATATTTTCTTGGTGATTTCATTATCGATATATTTCACATGTAGTTACATCACTAGCTTCCCACGAGCCATTATCGATAAAGTATTCGACACGGCGCGGCACAATAGAAAGTTTATTTGTACTCACCGTGCACCCGGACCGTCCACAAAAAAAACTTCTCTATTTATCCAACACAATGCATTTTTTATCTACGACTTAAGATTTTTTTTTATATTTTTTAAGGTAAAAGTTACCTGCTCTTATAGATCAAATAACCTGTATAATCTTTCATTCGTAGTAATGGATTAGTCATACTGATAAATCAAAAGTTAAAGAAAGTTTATACAGATATATGTACTTGTATATGCAATCGAATTATTGTGAACACCGTTGGTTTATAATGTGAGATTGTAAATTCCCCTCCAATTGATACTCTGTCCAACTCAAACGGGGATCAAAATTACGACGGCCTGAGCCGATTTTCAAAAGATGGGAAAGTAGGTGGACCTTAGTCTGGCATGGTGCTTCGCAGTTGCAAGCCAAGTTGTAATGCAAATAGCAAATAACAATGCAGTGAAACAAATAAAAAAATAGAATAGAATAGAAAATCATTTATTCAAATAAACTTACTTTGAAGCATTTTTGAATTGTCATCACATTATTTTTAATCTACCGCTCATTCTGAAATCTGTCTCATCACAAGAAGAACGAGCAAGAAACTTGCGTGTTGCTCTATTAAATAATCATTTTAACTATACATTTTTAAGTCGAAATGTGTGAATAGAAACTACCACTAGTATTAATTTATTTGGGTCAAATATTGAATATTCAATAACATTAAATCAGTCATAGTGATTAGATCAGACCAGTCCTTACAAGCAGCCCTCGTTCACGAGTATGACGGATGAGCCAGCTATCACTGCGCTCGACCATATTTTAGGGACCTCAATGACCCGGCCCACTACACCGGCGCATTTTAGTGAGCATGACTACTCAATACCCTCGACTACGTCATAGTTACCTAAAATTACCATGTGGAAGTTATAGTTTAAAAAAAAACAAAAACCAATTCAAACTGAAGAGGAAACGCCACTAGGAGCTCACACTTTCCTGAGGAGATAAAAACAATCGCGCCTAAGAATATCCTTCAATTCTTGTCCCTGACGGGTCTAGGTAGCGAACTCTGAAAAGGGCGAGTATAATAGATCTAAGTAGGTCGCAGTGCTACAAGTTCATGCACCTGACAATAGTCCAAACAACCGAATAAAAAAAATATATAGTTTCAAAAATAAAAATAACATTTTTTAAATTTAATCATACGCCAAAAGCATGCTAACCGTACCAAGACATTAATAGTCATATACTAGTGTTGAGGTCACGCAACTGAATATTTAAGCTTAGAACACACTTGGCATTCG